ATATATTTTTTTTTTTTTCTCTCTCTTTCATTCTAAACAAAACCAGTGTGAAAGATGTCCTTGGAGTAACAAGCACTGATATGTTTTACTGTTTCCCATCATTTTTTTCTGATGAGATTTGTGACACTGTGTGTCTGAATGCTACTAACTTTATAAGCCAGTCCAAAGTGCTTTCTTAAGAAAATTGTTCTCCTGTCCTCTTTCCCGTGGTGCTGGCTTCACATTAAAGCTTCTGACTGCGCCACTACGGGAAGATCAGTTCACTTTAGACTTTGCACTCAATTCCTTAACTTTCTTTGATTACATTCTGCTGATGACGTAAAACACTAGCAGTAGATTGAGGGGGAAAGGGGAGAATAGCCTTTTCTTTCATCAGCTTACCCATACCTTAACAAGGTCAATCCTAAGATCCTTCAGGAAAGTCTCTGTGTAGAATATGGAACTGTAATTACTTTTGGCTAAATTTTGTAATGTTTTTAAAGTGAATGTAACACATAGATTTGGGGGTATGTAGATGTCACTGCATGAGGATGCAATGTCCAATATAATCCTAATTATATCTACTCTTTTGAAAGTACCCCATATAGGTCATTATTGTAATTTTTCTCCTTTATAGGAAGTACAGATATTGATATTACTAGATTGTCTTCATGGTTCATTTTTAAACTAGTGTACCATATGAAAGCAGCTAATAATAGCAACTGTGAGGACAAATACCAAGCATCAATTGAGTATTAATCGTGCTTACTTGCATTATTTTGTCATAATAATTCCATGAACTTGGGATACGCAACACTATTCCCATTTTGCAGGTGAGGGAATGGAGGGGTTTTAAATAACATTAAAGATTACCCGCTGATGAAAGAAAGCATGGAACACCAGCACTTATGTTCTTCCACAGGTTTTTAAACTCTGTAGTGATGCAGGTTTAATTCTGACCTCTAACAGAAAACTGACTTGGGCACACTGCAAATGCAGGAGGGGACAAGCGGAGTGGTGGTCTCCACTTTTATTTCCCCCACACCTACCCCACTGCTGGGTGAGTTGGTCACATGCACACTTGCAGGATGGTCAAAGTGACAGGGACAGATGACCATCACCCAAGGATCTTTGATCAAAGCTCAGCTTTAATGTATCTCTAAGAGTCAGGTCATTTTCTTCAAGTACAATTCCTCTATCAATTGCTAAAAGTTTCTGTAAGTAACTGCTCTCAGCCAGGTAGCTAATTTGTAAAACCTAATTTGAGCTAAAGCCCACACTTATGGAGGGTTAAAAATTACCTTCCCAAGTAACAAATTTACATTTTATTACGGAGTTTCCTGAAGGGTGAAACAGAAATTCCGACAGTGATTCTTTAGAGGGAAATTGAACCATTTATGCAGGCTGATCCACAAGGAAAGAATATCTGGCTCCACGGGAATGAAGATCTTCCCAATCTTATCACATAGCTGGGCACACACTTCCAAACAGGCTCAATTGGAACTGTGCATTTTATGTGCTGGAAACATAGTAGTATATCCAGTATTCTTGAGAATCTCTTCA